GTTGCACAACTCGAAGAATGTAATCAATGTCACTGAGTTGTACATGTAGAAACTGTTGAATTGGTATGTTTTGCTGTGTATATTCTCAACAACAACAACACAATAAAATTTAAAAAAAAGAGAGACATAGAGGATAGAGTGAGAAGGCCTAACAAATTTCTACTTAGACTTCCATAAAGAGATAGTAGAGAAAATGGGAAAGATAAAAATATTAAAAATGATAATATTCTAAAGATTTTCCAAAACTTATGCTAGGCACAAATACTCAAATTTAAAACCCCAATAAATCCCACGTAGGTTAAATTAAAAAAAAAAAAAAAAACGAAACCTGGCCACATCATATTGAAAATACAGAAAACTAAAAACGAAGGGAAAATTTTAAAGTAGCCTAATTTTGTTTTTCAGACTGCTTACAAAGGAACAATTATTTTGGCAGATGACTTATTAACAGCAATAATGTAAGCTAAAAGACAACAGAATTTAGAAGACCATGAAATTATATTTTCAAACTGCTGAGAGAAAATAACTGTCAACATGGAATTGTTTACCCAATGAGCTGTCTTTCAAGAAAGAGAGTAAAATAACCTACCCAAACTAACACAAACTGAGGTAGAAAGTCTGAACAGACCCATAACAAGAGAAGAGATTGAAAAGGTAATTTAAAAAGAAAAAACTCCCAACAACAACAAAAAAAATCCTGGTCCAGATAGCTTCACTGGAGAATTCTACCAAACATTCGGAGATGAGCTTGCACCACTACTACTCAAACTATTTCAGAGCATAGAAAAGGAAGGGATACTTCTGAATTCATTCTATGAAGCCAGCATGTCCCTGATACCAAAACAAGGCAAAAGATATCACAGACCAATACCTCTCATGAATATAGATGTAAAAATTCTCAACAAAATTCTTGCCAATAGAATTCAGCATCATATAAAAATAATAATAATATGCCACAACCAAGTGGGATTCACAGCAGGTAGGCAAGGATGGTTCAACATTAGAAAATCAATCAACATAATCCACTAAAAATAAAAGAGAAGAAAAACATGATCATCTCAATGGATGCAGAAACGGCATGTGATAAACTCCAACACTCATTCCTGATTAAAAACTCGCACTAAAATAGGATAGAAGGGAAATTCCTCAACATAATAAAGGGCATCTGTACAAAACCAACAGCCAACATCATTCTCAATGGAGAGAGGCAGAAAACATTCCCTTTGAGAATAAGAACAAGACAAGGATGTCCTTTATCACCACTCCTCTTTAACATTATTCTGGAAGTCCTAGCTAGAGCAATAAGAAAAAGAAATAAAGGGTATCCAAACTGGTAAGGCAGAAGTAAAACTATCCCTATTTGCAGATGATATGATACTATACATAGAGAACCCTAAAGATTCCACAAGAAAACCACTGGAACTAATAGAAAAATGCAGCAGAGTAGCAGGATACAAGACAAATATACAAAAATCAGTTGGATTCCTATACTTCAATAAAGAGAACTATGAAAAGGAAATCATGAAAGCAATACCATGTATAATAGCCCCTAAAAAAATTAAATACTTAAGGATAAAT